CGCTAGCACTGAAGGGAGGTCTACCGACTGGCAGATGATTGCAGAATCCGATGAAAGATCTGGTCTTGCCGACAGCCATGCCTACGGGTCTTGCGTTGGATACAGCGAGACCGAATGGTCTGTTGGGCGAGAAGACGGGAAGACTGGGCAGATAGGCGAACGTCGACCGAAAGGAGAGATAGGAAGCAGACAGCGAGGCTGACGATGCGGAAGAAGAGGAGGCGGAGGAGGAGGGTGAGGAGCAGGAGGAGGAGGAGGAGGAAGAGGAAGAGGCGGAGGAGGAGGAGGAGGAGAGAGGAGCCCCCTTTTTACATGTCGCCGCCTCCTGCCGTCCTCGACATCTCATCGACAGCCCTTCTTGGCTGACGTCATCTGCGCCGCCACACGCGTCGACACCTTCGCTGGCAGAAGCGGTCTTTTTCGCCTCCGATCGAAGGGTCTCGAAACTCCTCCGTTGCACGTCCATGCCTCGACAGGCCAAGCGCAACTTGAGCGACCTCGACAGTCTGCCGGGCATCGGTACCAGCAGGCCCGAGGGCTTCTGGAAGGCGGCTGGACACGACCGGACCGGACCAGACTGGTCTGCGGCCTGGCCACGCGTCGGCGGCAACATCGACGACGCGACTGCAGGCGGCCTCGAAGCCGGGTTCGTCAATAGCATCTCGAATGTTCCCGTCTGCTCCCCGTTTCACAGCAGCCCGATCAGTCCCGGAGCCTGAACACCGTCAGGCTTGTGGCGTTGCCAATAAACCAGCTGCGGGTTCAAGTTGGGCTGGACGGATCGGAAGTGCGGATCGGCTTGTGGAGGCGACACTTGCGGTCAGTTCATGCTGTCGTGGCGGGTCAGATCACGTCAACGCCGGTCAAATCCAGTGAAATACAGTCAAGACCAATCACGTCTAATCAATTCAAGTCCAGTCAACGATGGTCAATTCAAGTCCGCTTAAATAGAGTCTGTTCAAGTTCGAAAATTCCAGTCCAATTAGCCAATCAACTCAAATCAAGTCGAATCCAATCCAATGTCAATTAAATCCAACCAAATCAAGTCGAGTCGAGTAAATTAAGGCCTGTTCAGTCAAATAATTCAACTCAATTCCTTTCAAATCAAGTCCACTCAGCTTCGGCCAAATCAAATCAAATCGAGTCGAATCCAATCCAATTAAATCCAACCAAATCAAGTCAAGTTGCGTAAACTCCAGTCCAGTCAATTTATCCTAATCAAATCCAATCAAATCTATTCCAGACAAATTAAATCTAATCACTCTAGTCAAGTCGAATCCAAACAATTTATATCCAATCAAATGAGGTCAAGTAAAGTAAGGTCTATTCAAGTGCGGTCGAGTCAAGGTATTATGAGTTAAATGCAATCCAATCAAGTTCATTCAAGTCACTTCAAGTCCAGTCAATTCTAGTCAAGTTGAGTCGAGCTAAATCCAGTCGACTTGAATTGAATTCATTTCAATCAAGTAAAATCACTGCCAGCCAATTCAAGTCCAATCACGTAAAGTCAGGTCGACTGGAAGAGACGAGGCAAGCGGTGGTCGACACGACGCAGCAGCAGGTGCGGATGTGTGAGGCTGGCAAAGACGGAAAACCAATCAAATCAAGTCCAATAAAGCAGAACCCAGTCGCGTTCATCCAATTCAATTCCAGACAAATCAAATCTAATCACTCTAGTCAAGTCAAATCTAAACAATTTAAGTCCAATCAAATGCGGTCGAGTAAAGTAAGGTCTATTCAAGTGCGGTTGGGTCAAGGTATTATGAGTTAAATGCAATCCAATCACGTTCATTCAAGTCACTTCAAGTCCAGTCAATTCTAGT